GTCCTTGTGCAGGGCTCCACTGTCTGGAAACAGTGGAGCATCAGGCCAAGTTTACAACCCTGGTGACTTAAGTAGGTGTAAAAGAATGACTACATTGTTCACATCTGGTGCACCGCCTTTTGCAATTAGTGATACTTAAAATATGTAATGTCAAATGCAAATGAAGCCTAGTTCAGCCTTTTGGTTTAGCTGTAAAAACATTTGAATTTGAATTATGCATAGGGTTGCAGGATTGAATTTGCCTAGTTAGACAAATTAGTCTGGCTTACTTGAATTTTACATGGCTTTATTTTATAAGCCTTTAAACTATTTCTCACTATGTTACGACATTGAATGGAATAGCTAGTTTTCTTCTCCTGAAGGATTTTTTAAGACATGTAATAGCTCAGTGTTCCAGTTGAATTATTATTGAGAAAACAAAGTAGAAGAGTGTCAGGAAACCATTGGGTTCTAAGGTGGATGGGCATTAATTTAAGCAAGTAGAGAAAATAATGTCATCTATGTGTGTGTATTTGTTTCAGAGGGAAGTGGAGAGTGAGAGACAGTAGCAAAGAGCTGAAAAGAATGTAAAAGAGAAATAATCAGCAGAGATAGGGCCTTTGAAGTTAAAACTGAGGAACTAGATTTTGAAGGACAGAAAACTAAAAGAAAAACTTAAGGTAGCAGATCAGGAAATCTCTTCATCTGACAGTAATTAGGCTATGAATACTCTAGTATTGAAGAGAACTGAAGCTGTCAAAGAAATAGAGTAGAAGTCAAATAATGAAGAAGTAGTGTGAAAAAAACCCCACTTTTTAGGATACTGTTCAAAGAAGTCCAAAAACTGGGTGGCAAACCACTATGCCTTCTTATAGGTAGGAAACATTCAAGCATGGGTATGCATGGAGAAAAGTAACTGTTAAGAAGAATGAAACTGATTAACTGTAGACCCTCAAAAATCTCTCTTGGAATGTTTTTGGTTGGTTGGGGTGTTTTTTAAATAAAAAAACTTGCAGCAGACTAGAAAGACAGTGAGAACAAAGATAATGCTGATGTTTAACACAAGGAAAGCAATACACAGGTTGGGAAGAATATCCTAGGACAGGATCCAAGCAGGAAAGGTGAGGGACTGTTAGCCAAAATTTTAGCTTTCAAACTGCTACAGTGCGTTGTTAGCATTACAGAAAACAGGAGAAGAGGTTTTTGGTATGTGTTTCAGCCACTTGGGGAAAAACAACCAGATGGAAAAACCCCAAGCAAACAAAAGAACCGCACAACAACAAAAAACAAAACTTAAACTGTTTCAAGGTGCATCTAAGCCTTGCCTGCCTCAGTGCATTTACAAGCTGAAAGCTGTCATTGTGAAATAGGCATGGGCTTGAGAGGCTGCATTACACCAGCCTAAAGATGAGGCAGGGTGGAATTTTACTTAGTTGTTAAAAAATACAATTTCCTATAATGCATTGAGTGATGTTTATCATTGCAGGTATTGTTGTGTCATTAGAGCTTTCATCTTTCCTTCAGTTCTTTGCATACTTTTTTGGCTTTTAATAAGTCCTAGAGGCCCATGCCAAAGAAGTAATATCAAGCTGTTTCTGAACTACAAGAGGTCTATGCATTTTTTTAAATTCTCCCCTGATGAGAAGTATGTCTGATTGTTCAAGCCTTTTGCAACAAACTGTCTTCATTGACTGTACTTGTCTTGTCATCTTTTTAAAGGTTAATTTAATCTAAAATGAGAGTACGCCACTTCAGGTTCACTTCTACAAGTTACATGCTAACAACTCTAAAAAGGATGTGTGAATGCTGAATAACCAGTCCTCTCCCTGGAACACACATGTGACCTGGCACAGATTCAGGAGCTGCTGCCGGCTCTATTCAGAGCCTTGAGCAGATTAAGTTTGAGAATTCTTCCTTCAAGCCTTGTTTATTACAGACTTACTTGAACTGTGCGTAGTTCATATATTTAGCTTCCATTTAATGATAGGAAATGCATGACTGCAAATGTGGTAGCTTTTTATTCAAATGTCTTTGACTTGAGTGAGTTCAGACTTCTGCAGATTCACTGTTCACTCTGCAGGATAATAAGCATTGAGGGTTTTTTGTAATTATTATTATTTAATTATCTTTGTGTTACAGATTTCAGTTTCTCCAGCTTTTCCCCTTTTGGGAAGGAGATTGTTTAAGCACATGGGATTGTTTTGGGTTTTGTTTTTCTTGTTGTGGGTTTGGTTTGTTTGGTTTTTTTTTTTTTTAAAGCACACGTTCAATTTGTTCTTGGGTTGCAACAGATAACATGCATACTGCAGGCTAGACTGGTCCCATCGGCTGAATACGTGCTAGCTGTTAGCACAGTAAATGCCCTCATCTTCTGGTTTAGTTTATTCCTAAGTGAATCCTCATATACTCCTAAGAGTATTCAGTGCTGCAAACCAGAAGATAGTAAGTGAAATTCATCAGAAGATGAGCAAAAAGGATTCCTTCAAAATCACTTTCCTAATCCCAGCTGAAATGCTGATTTGGAGACCTCCTCCTCTTCCTGGTTTAAAGCAGGCTGAAGAAAATATTAAGCGTCTTGCAGTTGCAGTGTGAAAGGAAAAGGGAAGGCATTTGAAACTTGTTTTCCTTTAAACAAACAGGGTAGTGTTGCTGGTTTTGTTCTGTGAGAGACTAGGTAATATGCCTGTTCAAAAATAGTGCTAAACTGTGATACTCAGGAGAGGAGTTTTAATCTTCATAGCTTTAGAACTTCAGAAAGCTCCAGCAGGTACCTCTGCTTTCAGGACCTTGTTGAAGAGATTCCAAGAAAGTAGTTTTTGAGGGTGTGATAACCTCAAGTAGAGGTAATGTCTTTATCTTCCACTTCTTTGTGATTCTAATGCAAGGTTTATAGACATAAGAATGCACACTGCTGTTCCCAGGATTCTGTAGCTTCTTCCATGGAGCCACCAGTTCCACTGTTGCATTCTTCAGAAGCAAAACAGAAGGCCAAATGCTGTCATGGCCGGTTAGTCATTATAGTACTGCGTGTGGAGAGGATTTAGTGAAGTCTTCAGACCAGGCTGCTTTAATCTGGGAAGTCTAAAGAAAAATCTGCCTTTACAGCTAATTCTTTTAACAGGCACAGAATGTGGCTGTTCTTAGTTTCCAAGATGATACTTAATCTCTTTACTTGTCAGCCTCTGCTCTTCCAGTATTGTGCCAGACAAGCCAAGTTCTGTAAAATGTATATGCTACTTAAAGTAGGGAAGGAAAGCTAACACCTGTAGACAGGGTTTTTTTTAAAGGTTAAACTTTTTATGTTTCAAATAGATTCTTTAAATATATGCGCTCATGCAGTTTACGAACCCGAGTTTGCTTAGAGAAAAAGGGAGCCACTTAATTTTCACACAGCAGAGAAGGACAAAAGGGTTCACAAGTGGTTCTGATTTCTCTTTTGTGGTATATTTTCTAAAGTGCCTGATGCCAACTACAGCTGTGGGGGATTTTATCTGCCACCTTGCAGTGTAGCATGCTTCTGACAGGCATGTTAGTTCTTAGAAATGAGAGATGACATCACTGTCCTGTCATTCACAGGGTTCATTGCTAGGCAACAGTTAATGTAATTCTATTGTTCAGTGGCACTACTTTGAATCTTTGCTTTGTGTACAGAAATTGTATGTCTGCATTTTGCCATGTTGTACCTGACATGGCAGGATTTCTGTAGTTGGATTAGCATTTCAACATCTTTTCTGCAAAGGGGCGATTTTATAATAGCATGTTCACTTCAGATAATCTTGTCTGGGGAAGATGCCTTGCTGTTGGTCTCTGACTGTTACTGAATTTTCAGCGTCTCTACTGTTGTATCTACATAGCACCTTTTATTGGATGAGTGCGAGCTTCCTCGATGCTTTTAAGATTCCTGCAGAGTACACGCTTACCTTCACTGCACAAATTGAGGAAGAGAGGTGAAATACATTGCTCAAATCCATGCAGAACTGATGATGCTTTTGAGCTGGCTCTTAATACCTTTGTCTTTGACACAGTGGTTCTGTAACAGAGTGTTGTGGAAAATATTCTATATATAAAGTATTATTCTAATAGTGTTTATGCAGTATTGTTTTATGGGAAGTAGTTGCAGTAATACTGGAGTATATCTAACACATAGTAGCAAACAATGCTGAAATATAGGTACCAGTCATCTTACAGCTTGTCTGGTTCTGTGCCACACTGAACAGGATGCCCAGGCCTGTGGAACCTCTATCATTAGATTTTTAAAGACTTTAGACAAAGCCTTGAGAAACCTGGTCTGAATTCATTGTAGACCCTGCTTTGAGCAGGAGATGGGACTATATCATCCCCCAAGGTCCCTCCTGGCCTTAATTATTTGTTGGTTCTTTGATTCTACAATAGCATAACCCAGTCTTGTGGTATTGTAGCAATTGGAACCAGCTATGTGCATGTCTGCCTGCCCTCTTCTTTGCAACACAAGGATAGGACATTTGTAAAGCAAAAATTGAGAAGGCCCTTTGAAATAAATATCTGTTAGCTGGCTCCTCAAGCAACAGCTGCCTGTCCTTCACTAGGTGTGCTCTGCTTGAAGTTAATGAAGGTACAGATGTGTTGCGATAGCTGTAAAGGGGAGGGGAGGTAAGGTCACACTGGATTGAGTGCTTTGTCTTAATGCTTAATGTTCTGAATCTATATAGTGGCAGCTCCATCCTAAAGGTCTTGGTTGCAGTAACTTTAAGTGGGTTTTTTTGTATTTTTGTTTAATAAAGACCATTTTGTATAACGATTCTCCTGAAAACATGTTTTTTATAAGTTCTCTGGTATGTGTGTCTGGGTATTTGGTTCTCTCTTTTAATAACTGGTGTTTCATATTTGTTCCTACCTGCTTTGTTGATTAGAATTTATTTTTACAGTGCTATGAACGCTTCAGAAATGCTGTTGTTTCTAGCAGTTTATCTTTCCTTAGCAGAGGTTAAAGTTTGCAATGTGTGTTCTGTTCTAACGTTAAATCGTAGGTAGTAATTAGCAAAATGGAAGAAGAAGTGGTAGGTAAATAATAGCAGGTAAAATTAACTGCATACATGTACTGAAAGGCTGTAGAATGGCAAGTAACTTGCTACTTGGATGGGTTGGAATCCTGTTCTCAAAGTATGAGACAGTTTGTGAATGTTAGACTATGTAGAAAGCTTAGTTCGTGGCATGGGAAGGAAGTATTTGAGAGTAGGAGGCAAGATTTTGGTATTCATGGCATGGTTACGCTCATTTCTTGATGATGTGCCTCAGCAGACTTCCATTAGCGTAGTCAAAACTAAATCTGCCCAGACTAAATGTAGTTTGAAAACTACTGGTTGGCCTTCATTTGAGATGTTCCTAGTAAGCATATGCTATAACTTAGCAAAGATGCCTGAACTTAAAAAATAAAAGTAATAAATTCTGAGGAAGACTGCTTTATGGAGTTTGATAAAACACTTGTATATCAGCCTTGCTGAAAGGAGGGTTTGGTATTCAAAGCAACTTAGTGTTATTGTCTGTTGTAGGCAGCAGCAGGCATACTGTGCTACGTGGGAGCCTATGTGTTCATCACATACGATGACTATGATCACTTCTTTGAAGATGTCTACACACTGATTCCAGCAGTTATCATCATAGCTGTGGGAACACTTCTTTTTATTATTGGACTTATTGGCTGCTGTGCCACAATTCGAGAAAGTCGCTGTGGACTTGCTACGGTAAGCTGCAGAGGTTTTATGTGGTGGTCTTTGCTTGTATATTTTGCTGCCTTTCCTTTTAATGGACTTCTGAAATGTGGGTTTCTTAAGCTTGTTCTAATTTTATGGCCTTAAATGTATTCTCTTTATATTTTATGAACATCTTATTTTGATTTTCTGTTCCAAATAATGGTGTGAAATTAGCCAGTCCCGGCAGTAGAAGGCTCCTCAGTTGTTCCTTTTTTAGAACTCTAGTTATCTCATTAAAAAACAAGAATGTAAAGCTATATAATTAAGTCATAATAGTTTTCAAATCTCATCTTTATTTGTTCTGGTTGAAAAGCTGAAATTGGACAGAGACAGAGGTGATCCAGGAGCCTTCTTGTTTTCAGTGTTTTGTCGAGGTTAACTAAGAGTTGTTATGATGCCTAAATATTTTCCTTTATGGCTCAGTATGGACATTTTATTTGTTGTATTTGATGCTATGTGTTTCCAAGAATTTTAACTGTAATCTCAGCTTGAGAATTAAGTAGGAGAGAGGCCAGTATTTAAACTGTCCCCACATTTTGTTTGTTTCTGTCTTTGTTGGATGCTGTGTGCACTTCTTTAACAGTTTATTTTAAAAATGTTCTTAAATATGCTAAGAGAAATGTATAGCTTGATGGCTCTGCCAGTTGTTACAGGCTTTAGGTCAAGAAACATTCTCTTAGTCCATCTACCACTCTTAGTAACAGCCTGGGGTGCTGCTTTGTTGTGGCAATCGTATTTATCTTAGAGAAAGAAGATTGAAAAGAAACACTTGATTAAAGCACTCCAATATGGTGTTTTCAGTCCTAATGATCAGCGCTTGCCTGGCTGGGCAGCTTATTATTCCTTGGTGAAGCTATGAATGCTAGAGTTCCTTGATGTAGTTAGTTCTGGGCTCATTTGGTCAAATTAATTGCCTGCTTTGTTATCTGTTAAATCAAAACCTTATCTGAAAAATGACTTCAAGTAGCAAAATCTATACGGAGACTTTCAGAGAGTAAATGGGTAAAATTATTTGCACATTCTTGATTGTATTTTGCAGTTTGTGATCATCCTGCTCTTGGTTTTTATCACTGAAGTTGTGGTGGTGGTCCTTGGATACATTTACAGAGCAAAGGTAATAATGTCCCAATTTCAGCAAGTGTTTTGTTGTGAAACTGTGACCAAAATACAGAGGTGTTGACTTTACTGCATTTGGGTCTGTAGAACCGTTAATAGGTATTTGTTAAGGGAATAAAACCAAATCTCTACTTGGGTTAATTTGAGATGTCAGTATCTTAAAATTTAGAATGTCAGTATTCTTCAGTGTAAAGCAGAAAGTTTTCCTGTAGGCAAAAAACTAGCTGGAATGTATCATTAAGAGTTGAACAGTAGAGAGGGGTCATGGTGAGTTGGTTGGGTACATTTCCATTTTCCAGATAGTCTTCTAATTTATTTATGCTTTGACATTGTGAATGATTTAGGTTACACAATATTTGAACATAGAGCATATTGTTTTGATATGCAATAACTTAAATGTTGTCTTGTGTTTTGGTATACAAACTAACACTGCATAATAATAAATAGATTGAATGTGTTAATGTATACTGTCTAGCTTTATACAGGTTGTTGACAGGAGTTATGGCTAAAGAAACGATTACTTCTCCACTGTTTGTTCAATGGAAGTTAATAAACAGAGCCAGAAAAATTATATAATTGTGTTTCTACTAGCACAGTATGGGAAAGAAATATACTACGTGGTATTAGAGATACCACAATGTAGCTTGACAAACTTTCTAACTTGTACAGTTTCACTGGCTTTTGTTATATCTACATCTAAATTTTGCCCAAAAAATAGGAGAAAAGGCATTTTTAGCAGTGACGTGTGGTATGATCACAGTATAGGACACTCCATTGATAGCTTAATAGCAAGCTGGACTACACCACCATTAACCTTTCTTTGGCCTTCTGTGTTTATATAAACCACAAGGGTCTTACTAGTTCAGTATTCTGTCCTTGCTTTCTCCTGCTATCATGGAAGAAACAGTGAGACAAACGTGAAGTAAAAATATAGCGTGTTTGCTTAGTTTACAAAGGAAGGCTGCCTTGAGTAAGCAGTGCGTAAGAGGACCTTGACCTAAGCATGATAATTCTAGCTTAGTAACAGGTAGAATGGGCTGTTTCAACAGAAATGGTGGTGCTTAAGTTCAGGATATGTTTTTCTCATGGTCTGCATCTGATTTCTGGAATCTTGGCAGTGCACTGAGAAGATCATTTGGGACTCTGAAACTTGTGGTGGAAGTAGTCCTTAGAAGCAACTGATGAGAGCAGTACAGTTCCTGGAGAATGGGAAACATGTTGAGTTCTTACACATTAACTTGAATAGTTACCCTATGCTCCAGTACTTGCAGAGGTGGACTGTATTACACTATAGTTGTTGCTCAGGAATTACCATGGATCTGATTTGGATTAAGCTGTGGTCATTTTACACTCTTCTGTGTTTGGTCTTTAAGTGGCTTGCTCTTTTCAGTGAACAGCATTCAAAGCAGATAGAAGCAGATGCATAGATCTTTCTTTCCTAGCTCATCTGAAATTGCATGCTTGAAACACTTGAAACTTGATTTGGTCCCAGCTTGCATGTCCTGTTGCCTCTCACTTTTGTTTTGCTACCATCCAGTTTCACAGCTGTAGGTCAGAGCTTGGGGGAAGAGGGGTAGTAGTCTCTTTTTGGTGGCAGCATGGTATTATGTTAAGTCATTTGTGGAAGTCAGTATTTGAAAACAGAATCTTAAATCTTTCGGAAGATCGGCAGATTTTGTTAGTAAAAAGGCCATCTTCTATTACCTTACAGTACTTAGCATCTTAAACTGTTGTTTCAGAGTGCAGCAGGAGTGTGAGAAATAACCTGAATTTACCACCAGTGAACTGGGAAGCGAAATCTGCAAATATTTCTGATTATTTTTGCCAGGATAAATAAGGCAGCTTTGTGCTTTGCTAATTTTGTTCTGTTGATTTTACGTGCTATGTGTGTGGTTTTTGTTGTTGGCTTCCTTGATTGTTGGTTTCATTTTTTTGAAGGCATCTGAATCATGTTGGGATTACTTCAGTGTTAACTGTACAAATTTCCCAGCAATGCTTTACAAACAAAAGGAAACATCAAGTCAGAGCAGTGGCTCATCAAAACTGTTGGTACTAAGCGGGACTGAATATAATGTCTCAAGAAGGTGGCATTGTGCCCTTTGAAAATACAATGACTGATCTTGAAATCGCTTAATTTTTCAACATGCCTCTGTAAACCTGCACATGTGGATGCCATTCAGACTCCTACTTCAGAACACTGTGGAGCATGCCCAGGTCATATTGTGATAGACTGACCTGTTGCAGAATCTGCTAGCATTGACCCTTACTGGTAAAAGTAAGGCTTCTTATAAGTGGCAGTAGGGATAAAACAGGCTGTCAGTTGGTTGAGGATTTAATGTCTTTTTTTCCCCTGGGTGGAGTAGTTGACTCCTCATTTTTCATCAGACCTGCCAGTTAGCCCAAGCTAGTGCCTTCTGTTTGCATTGTATGTAACTTGCGTGGTTTTCAGGCATTATATTGCCCTAATTGAACCATAAGCCAAATGATATACAAGGAAGCACAGAAATAAATGATTTGAAACCCTATATGACAAACTGAATAGCTGTTTTGTTATATAAATTGGAGTTGTAAATCACATCAAACAATTGATTTTAAGCTGGTTTGAAACAAGTTGCCTGTGCAGGCTAAATTGACTTTTATTCCTGTCTATCTTGTTACAGATTTCCTTGTAAAGATGACCAGCGTTCTTGGGTGGTGGGGAATTAAGCTTGTGCTATTGCTGTAGAAAATTCTTCCAGTAAAGCATTTAAGGGAATGATGTGTTGGCAAGACCCTCCTGCTGTAACTTGCAAATCTAAAGAATATGCATGCTTAGTTAATGCTCAGCCTCAAGATTACATTCCTTGCACATAATTCCTGTTGAATGCGATAGGAAAAAAAATCGATTCAGAGGCTGTCTTACTATTGTACAAATGTTTAGCTACACCAAACTTTCTGTGCATTTAAATAAGTTTACAGTGAAACATGTTATTAAATGGTTCTAGTCAGACTTCCTCCAAAATGGGCATCATAAGACACCTTTTTGGGGGATAAGTGATGATTCTTGGGTGGCATCCATTTCTAACACATGTACTTGACAGCATCTTCAGCAGCTTGACTCATCTGCAGTAGCTTTTAGGAGCTATTCAAGTAGCTGTTGCTATGCACGACAGTCATCAACTTTTCTCAGAAGGTGTGGGGAGACTGGGACTGAGCAGAGAGCTTGGTAGAATAGTCAGCCAGAAGACCTCATCCTTGGGAATTTACTTGTGCTTCAGTCAGAATTGGAAGAGCTGGTAATATGACTTACATGTATCCTTGTGGTCTCAAAAGGAATGAGATAGCCCTGGTAGTTATACTGGGTTTGGTTTGGAAATTTGAAGGAGTAGAAGGAAGTGGAAAGGTGAATGAATGTATGCTGTGGTAGAGAGCCCTTAAGTTTATGGAATGTCTGCCACAGTGTCGTAATAAAAGCTGTTTCTGTGGAGGTACGTGGCAAAGCTGCTTTGTCTAAAATCTTGTGGCAGATAGCTGCTTGGGTGGTTTTCTTACCCATTTGCTGCACACTAACATCATCTTTGCAAAAGTCAAGTTAGAATTTTAAGAAGCTGTACCACCCAAATATGCTGATTTCAGGTGATAGGGAGTTACCTTGGTTTCCTGTGCTGCCATAATTAACAGTGAAATAACTTTAGCCTACTTCTTCAGTACTACTTCTGTTGGTGTGCTAATGCAGATGCTTTCCTGCTACTTCACAGGTAGAGGATGAAGTTGATCACAGCATTCGGAAAGTATACAATGGATACAATGGGACAAACCCTGATGCAGCCAGTCGTGCTATTGACTATGTACAGAGGCAGGTGAGATGGCAAGACTCATGGGAACCTTGTAGTCTTTTCTGTCCTTAAAACATGAATGCTCTGTTGCTCTGGTACTTGGATAGCAGTTATTCTGACAAATCTAGGAAACAGCTGATTGGTCAATAAATAGCTGAACTTGGTTAAAATTAGTAGAATTCTGACACTGTTGATGCAGATCTCTATTTTGTGTAATTGGCTATGAGTCAGTGTTTGGATTAAAATATTTAAACTTGCATATTTTTCTGCAGTGGGACATGATCTTAATGGACTTGTATATTCTTAATATTAAATTATTGTATATGCTTGGAAAATCTGAATATTCTTGGTGTTGCAATTAGAATTGCTGTGTCATCCCACTTCTTGACTGATAGACCCAATGGCTTTTTACCTGTGTGATCTTCCAGTTGCGCTGCTGTGGGATCCATAACTACTCAGACTGGGAGAATACTGTCTGGTTCAAGCAAACTAAAAATAACAGCGTGCCGCTTAGCTGCTGCAAAGCAGCCCTCAGCAACTGCACTGGCAGCTTGACCCGCCCGATGGACCTTTATTCTGAGGTAAGACCCCCAAAGTATGAACTTAGTAGCCACATGATTTTGCTGACAGTCACTTTATTTTCTTTTCAGTGGGAGCATGAAGTTTTGGGTATATTTGCTTTAACAGGAAATAAACATGGTTTCTAGGAGAAAAATAAGACCTCCTTTTTTTCATCACCCTTAGTGATACACAAATTAATAACTTGGTTTAGTGTGTGGATTATCTTTCTGCCCTGTTTGATGCTTTGGGAGCTTTTTGGGGGGGGGGGGGGATGTCTATATGTGGTTGCCACACGGATATATAAGAATTCTACTTGTTTCAGGGGTGTGAGGCTCTGGTTGTAAAGAAGCTTCAGGAGATCATGATGTATGTCATCTGGGCAGCACTAGCATTTGCTGCTATTCAGGTAAGAGAATATTCTTCATCTGTAAACTTTTTCTCAGCTGCTGTCCAGGTTATTACAGGTATGCACAGGATGATGGCAGCTTTAGTCCCTGCTTGGTCTGGGGGGTAAACGGACACCAGTCAAAAGGATCTAAACATTTTAACACAGAGCTTTTCAACCGTGCATGGTCTAAAACTACCTCTATGTGGATGTATAGACAATATCTGAAAAATCAATGGTATGTGCAGTTATCTACTAGAGAGTAAGTGGTAAATTATTTCTTAAAAAGTAATTATCTCAGTATTAAGTATAATTAATGTGCTCTGATGATATTTAACACTTGAATAATTTGCATACTATTTGATTTCAAACTTTAAAACAGATAGTTCAAACTTCATGCCATTTTAGAGGTACACCAGCTTAACTGTGCTTCATGGCATACAGATAATGTCAACCTCACCCAGGAGATACACCAGGGTTTTTGACAGCATGTTCAACAGAGCTTTGCCTGGTGTCTTAAAGATTTCTTGGGTTCTGGACTTTAGCAAAAAAGGATGTTCTGAACCTGGAGATGCTGCCTGCTTGAAATTGAGCACTGATGGTATCCCAGATAAACCTTAATTGTTACAGTTACCTGGTTGTAAAAACTGAGGCAATAGACTAATGTGTATCTCAGTATTTATTTAGATTATTTAAAACAAAACAAAAACCCAAATAAACCTAGGGCTGTATTCTGAACCTACCTGTAAAACTGGAATTTTGAATGCTAATCGATTGGGCAGGCTTAGTGCATTATTTATATTATTTTCAGCCTGTGCCAGTGTTACTGTCTTCAAGAAATGTAGCACATATGCTGAATCCCAGGGACTTGAAAGCTAATTTTGAAGCTACTTTTGTGCCTTTCACAGTATTTGAATTCAGCAAACACTGTACCTGTTGAGTCAAGCATTTTAGGCACTTTTTTCTTCAAAAGCAGGTTTTGAGCTGGATTGTGTGTTTGAAGGTAGCAAATCTTTTGCAAACAGTCACGTGAAAATATGGTTGAATTTCTGTTTCAATGCTACAAGGATATACTCATAGGTAACACTGTATACATTTTAACTGTGCAGAACCAGATTACTTCAGGTGTGGAACTTTAAATTTGGTGCTCAGGCTTCTGAAGGTTATTTTTTTTAATTACCATTCTTAAAACTTTGACTGTTAAAACGATATTTAGTCTTCTTGAGCACTGAAATGTATTTGTGTAATGTAAATAAAAGTATTTACCACAACCATAGCTACTGTGGCAGATTTTTATGTAGGGAAAAAAAATGTATGTTATCAGGTTGGGTAAGCTGAATCCCAAGAGGAGGCATTATTCCTAGTTTTGGAGTTTGCAGGTTGATTAGCAGGTACATCCCAAAATGCAGCGGAGTTATAATCCTCCCTGGGATTGGGCCACAAATGCTGTGGCTGCTTGTATACATCTGTTATTCATGGCTCAACCATTCTAGGCAAGCATGTTAGTTGTATCCCTTCTGCAGTGAGTGCTCTTTACTTTGTCTCCACATGTCAGCAATCAAGCTACTGGCAGAAAGTACATAATTTCTGAATAGTTCATCAAGAAAATAAGAGCATCAGAGAAATGTCTTTGCTAGTGCTGCAGTATAGCATTTTGAAATGTTTTTGCTTAAAGGTAAAACAAGCTACATGATACCTGGTTAGAAAATGAATTAAGGTAAGTATAGAATGCAGGGTGTTGGGAATACTCTTGAAATTCCTGTCTAGTAATACTCACTGAGTATTACTAGTAGTAATCACATTTAAGTCTGCCAGAAGTCATATTCTTGTATCTTTGCTCCACATTTCAAATGGTTGTAAATTCACGTGGTTTTAAAACAACATTAGTTTCAGTCAAGGTGGTACTAAACACTATTCCAATTCTTCTATTATTCATATCGTGAAATGTAGGACATAAGTTGTGACACCCACGTTTGTAATACAGGATATAAGTATGTGCTTAGCCTGATTCTCAGCAAAATAGCCTGTGTGCTAATTGAATTGGAGGTGAGAATGGACTCTTCAGCAAATGGCCTGTAACCTACATGGTCATGGCCTATAACCTTGGAGGAATAATTATGTTTTTCTTACCTTTTGGTGAGTTTTACTACTTTTCTTAGACTCACTGCATATAGTCCACTCTGAACTGATGATTATTTCATGTTATGCAAGAAGGCTGTCCAAAGTTCATCACTTCCGATAACTTACAGTCAACAAATTCAGCCTTCAGTATGTTCTTTCCAATGGCAAGACTGAGAAGAGCAGAAATTTACAAGGCTTGGGATTTATGACAACTTAGTCTGTTTTGCACAGAAGTGATTTTTTTTTTTAATATGCTCATGTCTCAGTTACCATGGGAATCTTCCCGCATCCAATAATTCCCTGGTCTCAACTCCAGTGCCAGCACAGAACTGTTATTAAATAGGAGGCAAACTGAAGGGAGTAAAGGCATTGCCGTGCAGTAGAAGTGCTGCTGGATTATCTGCAGAGTTCATTCTCAAAGATAGCTTTTGAAGTTAGTCATCATTTCCAAGATCCTGACCCTGCCCAATGTATATCCATCAAGTGAGGGGGTTTTTTGTACCAAACCCAGCAGATTGGTTTGGTGAGACATTGGATCTAGTTACTGCTAGCAGGCAAATTTTATAAAATAATAACATTTTTATTAAAAAAAAAAACCCTAAACAAACCTGACGGTGGGATATGCCTGAACTCTTCAAGCTGAAGGTAGGGTTGTGCACGGCTCCTGCCTCAACACAGACTTCTAAAATACTTTTGTTCACAATATTAAATAGCAACTGAAGAGAAACAGAATCAAATGCCTTAGAAAAGGTTTTAGAGGTGTGAGCATGTTTTTGAAAGTGACAGATTATTTCTACAGAGAAAGTTGAAATATGGGAGTTATTTCCGTGATACTTCGAATTCTAGGAATATGCTCAGTGGCCTCCTAAAGGATACAAATGGTTTAAATAGTAAATGAAAAGTTGATTGCATAAGTTTTTGTTACAGTACCTGATGGTTACATATCTTACACAAATGTATAAATTGAACATCTTGAGTCATTGAACAGGATTATCTTGTGTGGATAATAATTGTAAATGTGAATGAATGAATTGGCTAGAATGGATTATAGCAAAAGACTAATGATGTTTCTCTCTGCAGCACACTCTTCATTTTATCCTTGTTTTGAACAGGAAAAAGCAGAATTTCTTGTACTTGCAGGCCATGAGCCTTATTCAGAGTTCTGTAGCTACTGGCAACTACCAAAACCTCTCCATTTCATAAGTCTAACAAGTGTGGGGGTTTTTAAATTGTGGATGTAGCCTCTTCCCTTAGAAGGGCTGAATCCATGAAGAGGACATGTTTTCTCTTCTTCCAACATAACAACCTGAGCTAGTTGAAGATGTCCCTGCTCATTGCAGGAAGGTTGAACTAGATGACCTTTAAAGGCTCTTGCTAACTCAAACCTTTCTGTGGTAACATCTTTGGGAGTTAGTCTGAACTGGAACCACCCCAGTACCGATGGAAAGTGAAGAAAGGTACTGATTTTTACCAAAGGCCAAAGTGCCACACTCTAGGTTACCACTCCATACACTTCTTTGAATTTGAGCTGCTTTCTGCTATAGATTCAAAGCAGGTATAATGCACTCCAGACAAAGAATTCTGTTAATCTTTACAGCTTGTTCCTGTCCAGGAAATTAAAAGCTTGTATGAGAATTTCATCATGCCTCTTTTTAATTGCTGCTTATTTAGACTCAGAGTTCTTAAATTGTTCAGTCTTTCAGCAGACTTAGCTACTGTGTTGCATGTACCATCATTTAGTTTTAAAACATGTTACACATGTGATGTTTGCATCAGACTTGATTTTAAAACGTCCTTCTCCTTTTGTGTCCCAGTGCTGTTTTTTCACTGGGTTTTTATTGTTTGAGAGAAGAAGCTTTACGCTTGGTTGTCTGCTCAGCCATTTCATTCTTTTTTGCTTTCTGTTCAAGGGGGTTTTGGGGCAAGTTTTTTCTGGGGGGGATGCTTTTAGAGATTTACCTTCTGGGTGATGCTATTTAGTCCAGAGCTATGACAGAAGCCCCTTGAAGTATTTGCATCTGTGAATGAACTTCTATCCATATAACCAAATCAAGACAATCTCTTACTTTACTAGAAGTAGTTACAGTCTTATTCTACCTTCAGTAAATAAGCAGCTTCTGAAGAATATCAGACCCTACATCCCTGCTTACATTCATTTGATTTAAGCCTTGTAAATATATACAGGCTGATCATACCCTAAATTCCTGACAAACTTGTCAGCAGAATCATGTGGTACCGTGAATTTTAACAGCAAGAAAATGTCTTCAAAGTGAATAATTCACATTGAACTTAAGCTTTCTAGTATGACATTAAGAGACTGAGCATTTGAAAGATTTCAGTGGTGAAGCAGATTCATAAAACTAAAGTTCTCCTCTTTCTCATTGTAGTAATTAGTGGCTAATGCCTTTGAATTTCACTTCAATTTTTTTTTTTTTTTAGACCAAAAAGAGTATCTAAAAAATCTTTTGCTTTCATTAAAAAAAAAAAAAAAAAAAAGAAGAAATAGCCATTCCTTCCATCTGAGTTCTGGAGGCATAATGCAAATGGCTGACCAAAAAACCTTTCGTTGAAGACTCCAAGGCAGTCTTGCAAGAACATCAGGCTGGAGTTTGTGGCCCTCACTTTTCACAGCAGGGCATGAAGTTTGCTCAGGGACAACGCGTTTGTTGCTGTTTACCTTCTGGCTGTTTACAGTCTTGCAATGCATGCTGACGGTTTCTGTGCTGAGGTTAAATCTCTTGAAGTACCTTCTTTACACTCAGCTTGTTTTCTTTTCTCTGTTTCTCTCCATAGCTTCTGGGCATGTTGTGTGCCTGTATAGTACTATGTAGGAGGAGTCGGGATCCTGCCTACGAGCTTCTCATCACTGGCGGAACCTATGCCTAGAAGAGAATGCGAACATGCAGTTCAATCTTATCTCACTCATGTGGAAGGTGAACGGGCCAGGTCTACTGCAATAGCTTTCTTGCCCTAAGCTTAGTCAAAGCACACCTTTCACAGATGACACAGCTGTACTGTACACTGGTGATGGGCAAAACAACTCAGCTTTACACACACCCATATAATTACCTGTGACTTTCACTGTTTTAGCCAGCTATTCATGTATCTAAATGTTTTAGTATACTAGTAAACTTTCTAATTTCAGAACCATTTGCGAGTTTTGTGTCATTTGGTTGATATGAAAGTCAAAGGATGTGTGCCTACTTTGGCAGATTACCTCTAAGCATTAACTGGCTGATTCTAGCATATAGAGAGGATGTCTTAAAACCTTTGCTACATGGAACTTTTTCAGCCAAAGTTGTACAAAGGAAGCCAGCTGTATTTAATTGGAGAAAACCAGATTTGAATCTTGCCCCTCACCAGTGTCACTTTTTAAAAATCACTTAAGTCCAGTACACTTTTATATAAATAAAAGGAAAAAAAAAAGAGACTAACCAAACCCCAAAACTTTAGGATCATGTGACTGCAGTTTTGACCTTCCAGGAACAAATCTTTCAGACATTAGTAGTTTAAAATACAAGCTGGCTTTTCAGGAGTATAATGTATGCACTACTGTTCTATAATGAAATATTTCATTTT